CTGAATGTGTACCGTCCTTGAAGATTGGCATGAAATCGGCAAATTTCAACACGAATTATGTCTCTAGCCCTGTCCAAGAGGACTCTTTCTGTTGAACGCACTGCCAACGAAGACTAGTTTTCGATTCGCTTCCGTCGAACTCGGATGAGCAGCTAGGAAGGCGTTTGCGTACGGTCAAAAACATCTATAAAAACCGCACTGTCGTCTCGGCTAAGCCCTGTTACGGGAAAGGCGAGGAAGTATCAACCGCCGCTCGGCAGCTGACAAGGAGTTGGCGTCCCCCGTCATTGTGGGACAAGCCCACAAGAGGAGGTTAATGCGCCCGGCCGGATCTCTCAGAGGATGCATCGATACCTGGTACCGAGATGCAGTGCTAGGAGCTGTCAAGCCTAACCGCCGGGTTGGATGGATTGGAGACTGCTATGAAGGGATCAGGTTTTACCCCGACAGCTACGTTGATCAGATGCGACAAGAGAGGCATGGGTACTCGGGGCCAGCAATGAGGCGCATGGCATTATATCAAGAGGTTGAGCATTTCTGTTGAAAACCGTGGTAATCCTCGCTCACCTGATCCATTGGATATTACCTAGGTGATTCTGGCGAGTAGATTAACGGCATAGAGTAGTGAAATGCTCAGTCCTCTCGACTGTATGTAGCCAACATTGTGCCCTTCCCATATCCCCTCAGGAGCGCGATGCAGCACGAAGCCAGCATCATGTCCAATCAGCAGTAGCCAGCTGATCCCAACCCATCTCCCGACAGACAAGCAAGACGAGCATCGCCAGCACGATCCATAATGGCCAGAGTACGAGTTCCAGCGGCACAGTGCTGACGAGCGACCCCAGGCCAGGGGTTCTTACCAAATCGACTCATAGCAGAGGCCCTCACACGCCAACGGCGACTGGAGTGTCCACCACCACCCTTCCACCGGTAGCTGACAGCTTATCCGAACCCTGCTTTTCAGCAGCGCCAGAACCACATGAACAGCTATCAGTATAGAAGGCGGATCGGGACGACTATAAAACGCAAGACTAGAACCAAGAGATTACTTAGGGTTAAGTTCCGAGACACCGTTCCCTGTGACCGGTCAGCGGCCAGAGCCAGCTAGCCCATCTCACACGACGATCCCCACGCGGCATACACGTTAGGTCGCATTGACCTTGAGTAGCGACGTGTCGTGTGGATTGAAAAGACCGGCCAAGGGGTCCGGAGACATTCCTTGCGGAAAACGGGAATCGGAGAACTGTGGGGGAGGCGAGGTGCGAGGTATGTGGGTGCAAGTCCATTCTTACAGGAAGAAAAGACAAGCGAAAGAGGTCCTACTTGAAGCAGGGTTCTAGAGACATAAATCGTGGAGAAACTCGTATCTCGATGTAGCATCAGGGGCCAAATCTTCTCGAGTAGCACATCGGAAGTTGAGCAGACTGAGGTTGTGTATGGTATGGTGAGTATGGAAAGGAAGATGGATGGAGGTACTCTGTAAGTAAATATTAATAGTTTAAGTGAAGCGCGTCGCGTCGCGCCCCTGTCTGGTTGCTATGACCACCCCTTTGGCGGCACTGCAGCGACACCTGGCACCGGCTGGCCCATTTCTAGATGCCTATAGATGCACCTGTAGTGGATTGGATCAGTAATCCGGCAGGAGGTAGGTACTGCTGTACTTAACCTATGGCGTCACCTCTTATACTTTCTAAACCCTCTTACATCTGCGTAGGGTATAAAAGTTATCCATCTACTAGATAAGAGGCACCTCAAGATTAAAAGCTACCTGATATGCGTCCAGTTTAAAATCCTGGCTCGCGTGTGGGGGTATTCTCGCCCGAGAATCGGGTCCCTCGGTCGAACAAGGTAGACCCTTCATCATGGACGTCAAACGAGATGCCAACCAAGAAGAGACCCTCGTCTCTGCCCTCGAGAGAAATGGCACAAGAGCATTCCAGCCAACAGCCGATGCGCAGTCTCGTGCAGAGGGTCAAAAGAACTTTGGAGCTCTGATAACAAGGTGGGTAGATGCGACCGGGTGATCATCTCCTTTTTGGACCTCCTTTCTGAACTTTTCGAAGGACAGGCACCTCGGCACTGATATCTTCATTGAACGCTCTGATCAAGCCGGGTTGCGTCCCAGATTGGCTCCGTATTCACCTAATTGATATTCTTACGCTACTGCCCCAACGGCCAGATGGCGTCCGAGCGACTTTGGAGTTCGTGTTTTCGGTTCATCCGTCCAGCACGGTCAAGATATCTGAAGCTGCTACTCCTCAAAAGCAAGGCGCTAATATCACCATGGAGGCTCTGAAAATGGCGTCAACCCTTTTATCCGTACCCCCTGCTTCTGTAAAACCTGAGGCCTGGTTTCCTGGCATCGCACCTCAGCTTCTTGCTCTTCTCGATGGGAAAGATGGCCCTGATCTTGCCAAAGTTGCCGCGTACGTTATAGGTTTCGGTGTTTTGGGTAGAAAGCAGTTTGGCGCCCCTGGTATGGCAATCGTACGACCGCTTTTCTATGCTGTCTGCTAATATTCACTTTTTACTAAGGAACGCCTGGATGGAGAGCATTCGCTGAGCCGATGCTGGCAGCCATCAACCCGTCCTTATCTTCCAGTGGGAGCCTAGCTGAGCCTTTGGTTTTCAGCGCTGGACCGGACGAAGTGGTTGACCTTCGGAAGCGCACAATCTTAGTTTCGGCTGATGCACTCCACGTTTCATTAAAACGTTTATCTTCCTTACTGAATTCACATCCTAACCCGGGCCTGACCAAACGATTACTGGGCTCGTTACTTATGCCCCTGTGGGCTCTGTCGTCCTGGCCGTGCCCGACTGCTCACGTAAAGGAACGATATTGTCAACCAGCGCAAGATCTAGTCGAGATATACCTTAAGATTGCTGGGTCTGCCGATAAATTCATGGGAATCATCCACAATCTTATATTTTCTGGTTTCAAAGGCGCCACTGAACCGCGATGGTCTTACGAGCAGATAGGTGAATCTGGCCTGCAAGTTAGGCGCTTGCATGGTGGTGAAAGCACGGCACCTACGCCGCTGGATTTGGAGGTCATTGACTCGAAAACAACGGCATATATTGAGCTTTTGAAACGAACTGCATCTGACATTGATTTGTCGACACTCTTCTTAAAACTCTTCGAAAACTCGCTCGGTTCTAAGGAAAATCCAAACGTTATACAAGTGACAGCTGACAACGATGACGGTGACCCGATATCACAGCTAATTCAAGCTAGAATACTACAGGCCATGATGGAACAAGTCCCAGACAAACTGATATCAAATTCTAAGCAGCTGCTAGAGCTCGTTAGAAAAGTCCTCGGCGAGTTCGGTACTGAATCTGCAAACGATGATGCGGTTCCTGTGGCTCTGAGTTTACTTAATCTAGTCATCACAGTACCAAGTTTCCAGCGAAAGGATATACCCGAGAAGACACTAGCGTCTATTGAAGATTCACTCTCGAGGATTAGTCTAGCAAGGGAACCGGAGACCTCACAAACCGCACATAATCTGTCGCAGCTTCTGAAATACCGAGATGAACTAGAAGACCCTACAGAGCGGCCAACTGCGCCAACCGATCAACAAGTCGAGGATAAAAAGACGTACAATCTAGCGCTCTCGTATATCACACAGGCTGACTCGCCACCGCCTGTTCGCTCCGAGGGTTTGAACCTGCTGGGTACACTTATCAAGTCTAACAGCGCTATTGTCGATATCCCGGCCACGCTGGTTCTGCTATCGTCAGTTCTCAGCGACGACGATGAATACATAAGCCTGCGCGTGATAAAAGTGTTTGTACAACTATCGGAAAGACACCCGCGCTCTACTATCCGAGAGGTGCTAGATCAATACGTCGACGCATCAGAGCGGCAAAACACAGATACACGCCTACGATTTGGCGAGGCATTACTACAGTTAATGCAGAGGCTTGGCGAAACCTTTGCGGGTGATATCGCCACGTCTGTCGGCGAGGCCCTTCTCGCGCTTGCGGGGCGTCGCGCCCATCGGCCCAAGACCGAAGAGCGACAAGCCCGCGCCGGACAAGCTGCTGCGCGGAAGAAGAGAGCCAAGGAGAAACTGGCAGCTAACCCGCGGGCTCCCCTCTCCATCGATGATGAGGACGATGATGCAGACATGGATCTTGAGGATCAGACACCCGAAGAACGAACACGTAATGCCCTTCTCGCACGCATCGTATCTGGCTGGGAGAGCAAGCGAGGTAGCGAGGATATGAGAATCCGGGCTTCGGCACTCTCCCTCTTCGCCTCTAGTCTGGAAACAAACATCCGTGCTTTCACCCCGTCACTTATAGATGCCGCGTTGGCTCTGAGTCTTGATGTTCTCATTCTCGAAGCTGATATCTTGGAAGGGGGGATCTTGCGGCGCGCAGCCGTCACAGTGGTATTAAGATTTGTATATGCACTGGGAGAAGCTCGAGAACGCGGAAGCCATCTTAGCTTTGGCTCGGGGCCAGGCGGCGATAGAAGTAGAGCAGGGCCGGGCTTTGGCGCGAGATTCACGACGAAGGAAGAAGACGTTGTGCGTGTCTTAGGGTACGTGGAGCAGAAAGACGAGGACGGACTCGTATGTCAACATGCGCGGGATGCTCTCGAGAGTCTAGAGAACCTCCGCCTCGTACAGCTTGTGCCGCGCCAACGGGATCAGGATGCTACACCGTCGGTTGTGAAGGTTGCGGGACTAGACATGTCTAGGCCGAGCCTGCCGGTGTTAGATGCGGACGGGGAGAGACGTGCTAAGCCGAGGATCGAAGAGATTGAGTGATCATGCCGGGACGAGATCATTATGTGGCTATTTGGTTAAACCTACATATATAAGAGATACCTATTTACTTGGGATATTTGTTGAATACAAGCAGCCCCGAGGCTAAGAGAATGAGGAACCAACGTGGTGAGGTTATTTCGCTTCTTGGACCCGAGTCAGGCTGAGGGTGGTTCTCTCACTGTGGTACATCACCAAATACTAGGAGCCGGTGTTCCATCAGCGGGGATAGTTCAGTTGGGAGAACGTCAGACTGAAGCTTCTAACTTCATTCATCAAATCTGAAGGCCGTGCGTTCGATCCGCACTCACCGCATATTTAATCTTTTGCTTCCTTTTTTCCTCTATCTCGTTTTTTAAACGACCCGGTAATGTATTCCAATTTGTTAGCGCTGCAAGATGTGGTGTAGGAAGGCATTTTAGACTATCTATTACCCCATTTTAATTCATACCCTCGCGGAGTGCATATCTGCCTGCCCCTCTTTTAGGCATGTTAAATTGGTCCAGGCCGCTGGAACCTCTCCTTCGCCGTGCCGCGTCGAGCTTCCTGAAGAGGACAGGGGACCTGGAGTCTTTAACCGGGCTTTGGACCAAACAACTTCGGGTGCTTAACAGCTCCATATTCTAACCCGATCGCCATCGCGGCTCGTTTTGACGATCGATCCCACTGCCTAATCTGTATCAGTCGCTATCGATCGAACAGGAGCTCGCACTCACCCATTATTTATCTAGAGTCGTAGTTCCAACGGACCTCACGTGCTGCTCCGATCCGTCGGGCAGCTATCCAGCGATTACGGACCATTCTCCCGAGTACCGACACTCTTTACAATACTAACTAGCCTACCTGGGGTTATTAAAACACTCAAATGAGACTGCGGGACTTATCTCGCCTCACCACTACTATCATTTATCCTCTACTCTGTCCCACATTCACTCTACGGTTGACGGTTGGCGGTTGATCAATCCGCCCAACGTCATTGACACTCAACCTAGACACAGCGACGTCTTAGATCCTATTCGTTACCACTTACCACTTCAATTCTATTTACTACTGCGGGGCAACATAGCATAGATCCGCCTATCACTCATGGATGATATCCGTCACTTCATCATCGCTCCAATTTCGATAATACTACGTCCAAGTTGGGGTTGACCGGCTGTGGAAGGCTGGCAAGGAGCATTGTGTTCCTCGAATCATGAGCCTACGCCGTACCGGGCCAAAGAGGTGGTCCCTCAAAGACACATATGGTTCGTTGAACAGCACCCTTTTGCGGCTGTCATACTCGTACGTATACGAGTGTTGTTGCTGACAAGACATGTCTCTGGTTAGGCTTCATTGCGTCCTTCTGTGAGGCGCAAGCGCGAACTGGTGCGACATCCAGCCACACTGCTGGGCATAGGCGCAGCTTACAGCCCTCAGCTCGAAGCTTTCATCAACAACCACATGTACGATGTAGATCGAAACACAATAGTGAACCAGCTGCTCCGAGCACGGCAACCTCTTTGGTCAAGTCACAACCCTCGCCGCTCCCCCCGCATACCACGCGCCGTGGGTTTCACACGTATTTCGTGACACACCTACCCTCGTCTTCCCTACACCCGGACTCGCGGACCCCGCCCGGCCTTCACCACCACCTGCCCAGGTCAGCAGCAGCCCCTCATAGCAGCGGCTCGGGTGCAGCTCCAGTCACTCCGCCGCATCTCCCCGCCAATCGCGATCTTACTGTGGTTCGCATTCCCCTCCGAAGCGCGAAACACCACTTTGGCGCAACGGACTCTCGAGGGTCGCGTCCATACAATGAGGACACTAACCAGGCTGGGACCATCGATATGCCGGCATTTGCTAAGCGCGCCCCCATTAGTTTGGTCCGAAATGCCATGAAGAAGAGCGGGGAAGGGACATCGGCCGATAGTCCATACGGTGACCCCCAGATATTCTATTTCGGAGTTTTCGATGGCCACGGCGGCAGCCAATGTAGCGATTTCCTGCGGGAGGAACTTCATGGGTACATTGAAGAAGCCGCTGCTGAATTTGGCCTGAAAAGTAGCTTGCGCAGAAAGACAGGTGCCAAAACTACCTCGAATCCGAAAGAAAATGCCCCGCTCCCGTTGATACCGGACTCTAGGGCGGGCGGCCGACGAAAATTGGACGATCTAGACATGAAAGGGTCTACGGAAGCCCAAGCTCAAGCCGATATCCCTGAAATTAACAAGCGCGGTGTTATCAATGAGGTTGAACACGCGACTACTGTCGAAGGGGAACCTCCCAGTCCTGCCAAGCTATGCCGAGACCGGGCACTGAAGTTACAGAAGGATCTTGTGCACGAGTATAAAAGCACTATTGGCGGGTATTTCCGTCGCTTCAACCCGCCGCATTTCAATGTGTCCCAATCTGCAGACACTGCGTCGGATACACCCATTGGTGTCGAGGCTGTCCTCACCTACGCGTTCCTTCGGGCAGATTTAGATTTCGTCACGGCCCAGGCTCGGAAGCGGGATCCTGACGACCCTTACGTCTCCGATGCGGCCCTCAACACCGATGAGATTCTAGGGAAGCCGCATCACCTCCCACCCTCCGGTCACGGGATTGGCGGGCCTACCCGGTTCAAGGGCGGCTCGACCGCATCCATAGCATTAATATCGACGCCAACCCCAGCGCCATTTTGGCATCCCGCAGCTTCGTCTACCCTCCTGGTTGGTCATGTGGGCGACACGCGAGTCCTGCTCTGCGAAACAGCTACTGGTCTCGCCAAACCTCTGACCTGGGACCACCACCCCAGCTCGCCGGGAGAGTCCCATCGCCTCCGCCGTTTCGCGACCTCCTTCATTACGGATTCGTTTGGCGAGGAGCGTATCCAGGGGCTCGCCAACACGCGTTCCTTCGGAGACATGGGATCGAAGCGTCTGGGCGTGTCCGCCGAGCCTGAGATCACGCGCATAGAGCTTGGGCCAGCGCAGTACAGCTTCTTAGTGCTCATGTCCGATGGTGTATCGGGCACGCTGAGCGATCAAGAAATAGTCGACATCGCGAAGGAGGCCAAGACACCTGAGCAGGCGTCCAAGGACGTCGTGGCGTTTGCCACCGAGGTCAGCAATAACGGCGACAATGCGACGTGTCTGGTCGTTAGACTCGGCGGATGGGAGCGTCGTAGCGAGGGCGGCCTTGGCAGTCTCGGGACTAAGGAGATTCGGGACTACAGGCGGGATGAAGCTCTTGATCCGCGGCGGGGAAGGCGGTAGATGAATACCGTGGTGGGAAGGCGTTTACCTCGAGCATCGCTACTAGGCGTAGTAACAAATTCAATAACCTGACTTTTAACTTCATCGGGTTGTGCGTCAGCCAATGTGAGAGAGTAATATCTATCAGGCCTTGCGATCAGTTCCTGTAGTTTGGTGAAATGCTATTATTAATCATATACCAAATCCACGGGATTGTCAACTATTTGATCCTAATGGCGTACATAACTAAATAGCGTCTTAGATAGGAACCGACTCGTGCGCCTGAGTGCTACGATGGAATTTTCAAGAGACGACTTGCTCTATACTCGTGTCTGAAATTATTCCCTAGCCTCGTTCCAGGAGTAAACCAATGAATTATATGTTATAGTGCTGTATTCTAAACTGTATAATTTAATCATACAATGACGAAGCACCATGTACTAAACATAGTGTGCCCTACATATTAACCGAGCAGGAGATAAAGCTGCTCGAAGAACAGCAAACCCACGAAGGGCTGCCCCAGGAGACGCGGAGCCGAATAATGATGCTTGCTTGCCTACTTGTGTGTGCAAGGTACGAATATACTATGAGTTCCGCTATCAACCATCCCAATCCCGCCGTGCCCGCCTTCTTTGCCCTTGGAAACCCCGGAACGCCGAACATGATCTTCTTCTTCTTTCTTCTCTCTGCGTTAAGTTAATCTCTACACATGCTTGCTTTGCCAATCTCGTCCAACGGGCGGCTCGGCCTCTTTTTTTTCGTCATAAATGCCTTTCTATGGATGTTGGGGTGGTGGGTGGAAGAGAGGTGTGAGGATAAAAAGGAATTAGTCTCGCTCAGTACTACCGCGATACGCCGATCAAATCCAACCGTTTACACGAGGGCGTCTCGTAATCCCGCGCAACCTTCATCTTGTCCGGGTCTGGAAAGAACCAACCCTGTGCCCTATCGAACAGCTCCTGCTTTGTGCTCATCTCGGCGTCGCAGCGCCGACGCAGCACGCGGACAAACCCGAGCTCTGCCTCCTTGTCCAGCTGGCGTAATCGATGATCTTGCCATCCGGCGATATCGTTCGGATTCACAAAGTAGTTCACGTTGAGTCTTGGTGTCGTCCGGTGATATGTTTGTGGCGGCTGTGGCGTGTCGAAGACCATAGTCGGTACAGATGGTTGCGACTCACCGAAACCGGAGAACAGAGACGTGAGGAGCGGGAAGACGAACAGGATTAAGATCGGTAATAAGCTGACCAGTGTGTCCCAAGGCGATGCCTGCTGCTGCTGTCCCGGTTGCCCGTCGGCGCGCGGTCTCCTCCTCGGGCCGGCGCCGCCAAACTGATGTACCCGGAAGCCCCTATTCCCACCCACGTTGAAGACGAACTGTGGTCCTCCGTCAAAACCTATTTGCGCGAATGCATTAGTTCACTTTACTCCGAATTTCAGACGGTCGCAAGGGATAGCTATAGAACTCACCACCACCAAAAGGTCCACCAAAGCCTCCCCCAAAGAACCTCGCAAACATCTCCTCGGGACTGATCTCATCGTCAAACATACCACCGCCCCTACCAAACCCAGGCGCTCCACCCGCCGCGCGCCCGCCTCCGCCAAAGCCGCCGCCGCCGAAGGGATTCTGGGCCTGGGTGCGGGCGCTCTCGAAGCGGGACTCGGGGTCCGTCCCAAAACGGTCGAAGCGCTCGCGCTTCTCCTTGTCGCCGAGCACGGAGAAGGCCTTGGAGACCATCTTGAAGGCCTCGTCGGCGCCCTCGTGGCCGTTCTTGTCCGGGTGGGTCAGCAGGCTCTGCTTGCGGTAGGCCTTCTTGATGTCGGCGTCGGTGCACGACGCGCGCACGGCCTCGAGGTCCAGGATCTCGTAGAAGGCCGTCACCTTGCACCGCCGGATCCGCAGCACCGCCGCCCGCTGCTCCGGCGTGCACTTCCGCTCCTGGTTGCCCTGGTTGTGCTCGCGCGAGCGCGCCGACCCGCCTCCGCCGGCGTCGGCGCCGGAGGCTTTGGCGCTGGACATGATGGTGGTGGTGGTGGTGCTGGTTGTGGTGATCGTGGCGATCAGGGAGGGGGGAAGGGAGAGTTCGCTCGCTCGCGT